CACAAGTTTAAAAACGTGTGTGTGATTCCCAATAGCTTCAAGTAAACTCAGTAACTCTTTGCCTACATTCTAGCACTAGAGAGAAAAACAAAAGAAAGCTAATATCCTCATATAGAGAGCAATATACTAGAGCTTTGATATAGCTTGAATCGGATGAAGCTTTTAATCGAATTTGACGTTCTTGAAATAGCGTTGCTTCATCTCTTGGCCTCCTCCTCCTTTGGATATCTTCGTTGTAGCATATATTCCATCCATCCTCCATTTATGGCACTAACGAGCTTGACAAATGATTTTTCTACATTTACACTCAATAAGCCATTAGTACCGATAATGGTGGTTGTACTACCTACTGCACTAGCATATGGGACCTTCGACATATAATCTCTGTCCTCAATTGAAACAGGTGACATCAACGCTGAAAGCTTGAAGTGGGGAGCCAATGGTGTGCTAACTGCTTTTGCATTGCCATCAAAGCTGAATTTCTTCAACATCTTCTGTAAGTATCTCTTCTGTGTAAGTTTCAAACTCCCTTTCACCCTGTCTCTCTCGATCTCCATACCCAATATCTTCTTTGCCTCTCCAAGATCCTTCATCTCAAACTCGGATGACAGCTCATCTTTCAACTTTCGGATAGCCGAAGAATTCATGAAAGCAATAAGCATATCGTCAACATATAAAAGCAAATATATGTGCTCACCATCATGTAGCTTGTGCATATAAACACATGGGTTATATGGGCTCCTCGTGTACCCTCGACCAATCATAAAGCCGTCAAATCTCTTATACCACTGTCTTGGTGACTGCTTCAAACCATAAAGAGACTTCTTTAGCTTACAAATCAAATCTTCCTTTCCTGCAGCTCTGAAACCCTGGGGTTGTGTTATGTAGATCTCCTCATCTAAATCACCGTGTAGAAAGGCTGTCTTCACATCCATCTGGACCAAATCCAAATCCAACTGTGCCACCAACGCTAATAAAATTCGTATAGACGAATGCTTCACAACGGGTGAAAATACCTCGTTGTAATCAATGCCCTTAAGCTGTGCATATCCCTTGGCAACCAATCTGGCTTTGAACCATATGTCCCCAATAGAAGATCCCTCCTTCTTCGCATATACCCACTTGCAAACTATTGCCTTCTTACCCTTAGGTAGAAGTGCAAGTGTCCAAGTATCGTTCTTCTGAAGAGACCGCATATCCTCCCTCTATAGCTTCCCTGCACCTGATCGAATTGGGGCTAGACTCTGCCTCCCTGAATGTGGCTAGAACCATATCGTCAACGACCTCCACTGATAATTCATATGCGACCATGACATCATTATACCTAGCTGGCCGACGAATCTCTCTCCTCGGTCTATCTGCTGCAATGGACCTCTGAACATGACCCTGTTCATGAGTACCATGATCCACTGTATCTTGTATCTGCCCGGCTGTTATCTTATCTCCTCCCAGTGTCACCTCTGTAGGAGCCTCGATGGATACAGTGCTCTCTGGAGTGAGTGGAGTCACATCATCCTCCACCTGCTGCGATATCTCTCCTGTCTGGTCTCCCTCCACCTGCTGAGGGGCTCGAGGCCTCATCATGTACGCCTCGTCAAATGTGACATCTCTGCTAATAACTATCTTCTTGTCTTGTGGATCGCATAACTTGAAGCCTTTGACTCCATCTCTAAATCCCACAAAGACTGCTTTCCTTGCTCTCGGATTTAATTTACCATCACTGACATGATAATAAGCTGGACACCCGAATATCCGAAGCGACTCATAGTCACTAGCCACCGAACCAAACCAACGCTCCAAAGGAGTCTTCCCGTTTATCGTAGTCCACGGCAACCTGTTCACGAGATGGCTCGCATAAACTACCGCCTCGGCCCAAAAGGATCTAGGCAATCCACTCTGTGTTATCATACACTGTACCTTCTCCAACAAGGTACGGTTCAATCTCTCAACCACTCCGTTCTGTTGTGGTGTCTCTCGAACTGTGAAGTGTCTTCTAATGTCGTGATCCCGACAAAACTGCAGAAACGGATCACTCTTGTACTCTCCACCATTATCTGAATGTAGAGTCTTCACCTTTCTACCTGTCTGCAGCTCCACTTTCTTTTTCCACTCCACAAAAATATGCAGGACCTGATGTTTATGCTTCATCGGGTATACCCAATTCCTCTTGGAATAGTCATCAATGAAAATGACAAAATAGTTAGTCCCACCAAGAGATGTGTTCTTGGAAGGACCCAAACATCTGTGTGAATGTAATCCAAAGTACCTCAGGTGTTATGAACAGCAGTGCCAAACTTCACTCTAGTCTTCTTCCCAAGTACACAGTGCTCACACAGCTCCATCTTGTAGGTCTTAGCACCTTTCAATAGCCCCTGTTTTGCCAATAACTGTAGGGACTTATCACCTGTGTGTCCAAGTCTCATGTGCCATAAGGTGGTAGTGTCCTCCTCTGTAGTAATAGAAGCTGCCAGACCCCCTGTAACTGTCTTACCCTTCAAGTAGTATAGGTTGTTTTCCCTGACACCTCGCATCACCACCATAGAACCCTTCGTGACCTTCACTGTAGAATCCTCTAAGATCACTCGATATCCTGCTGCCTCCAAAGTCCCAAGAGAAATGATGTTCTTCGTCAACTGTGGCAAGAACCTCACTTCCTTCAATTCCCTCACTACACCATCATGCATCCTAATCTGGACTGAACCAATACCACCAATAGGACATACGTGGTCATTACCCATAAGCATGACATCCCCTCTTTCCAGCTCCTCAAAGCTAGAAAACCACTCCCTCTTAGGGCAGATGTGATATGTAGCTCCCGAATCCATCATCCACTCCGTGGAATCCGCATAGCAAACCGACGGTAAAGCAGGGCATGAATAGCCTGAAGAATCTGAATCTGAATGCTCACCAATAGCTTTTGCAACATTCACTTCTGAAGCTTGTGCAGCTTTCCCCTTATTCTTTCCGGCTTTTTCTTTCCACTTTGGGCAGTCAATCTTCCAATGTCCTTCTTCTTTACAATACCGACATTGATTTCTACCAACACTCTTATAGGCACTCCTATTCTTTGACTTTGAGCGGTTGAACTGGCGACGGTTTGGATATCGGCCTTGAACTGCTAATGCATCTCCCGATGCGTTCTCGGAGGGTTCACCATCATTCTTCCTCAACTCATAGTTCACCAAAGCTGAGGTCACCTCCTTGTAGCTAACTGTAGTTCTTCCATTGATCATAGTGAGAACGAACGTACCATAATCATCTTCGGGCAACGAACACAGAAGTAGCATCGCCTTGTCTTCATCCTCAACTATAATATCAACATTGGCCATATCTGAAAGTAGCTTAGTGAAATTGTTGACATGCTCCCTGATGGAAACCCCTCTCTTCATCTTGAACTGGTAAAATCTCTTCTTCAAGTGAAGCCGATTCTCAATGCTCTTCATAAGATATTTCTCATTGAGTGTTTCCCACATCTTCTTCACCGACGTCTCGTTCATAACATCGTAAATAAGATCCGGCGTCAAGCATGACCTAATAACACCACAAGCTCTACTGTTCATCTTTCTCCAAACCTTATCCTCCAACTCAGCGGGTTTGTCTTTTAACTCAAGAGTCTCCTCCAAATTCTGTGCATCCAAGGCATCCATCACCTGACACCTCTACAATCCAAAATTGATCTTGCCGTCGAACTTCGGAAAATCAATCTTTGTGTTATTGATGCTCAGACTCTGTATCGCCTTTGTAAGAGACGAACCTGACATGCTTGCATCTCCCATGTTGTTGACCTATCTCTGATACCAATTGTTGTGAGCGGCGGAAGCTTTCTGAGCAACACGAACAATAACTCGAACTAACCACAACTAATATGCAAACACAATCACAGCAAGAACAAACAATTTTATGTGGTTCAGCAAGGTGCCTACGTCCACGGGGTAAGGAGGGGGGGAGTTATTACTATTAGAAATCAGAGAATACAAGTAGAGTTACAAATCTCTCAGATCAAACCCTAAAACAAAGCTCTTGATCTCTCACAACTCTCCCACAATTGGATGCAACAATTCTCTCTCCAAGGCTGCTCAAATTCGTCCTTGCATAATCCTAAACAATCAGGTTCTGAGTTATATACAACTCAGAAACGAAATGGGTCAAAATCCAGAAAGCCCAGCCCAGAACATCGACGGTCGACCGCGCAGGTCTCGCGGTCGACCGCACCGGTCGACCGAATCATCAAACCCGAGAG